AAGGCTGAGGCAGAAGGATCACCAGAGCCCAGCAGGTCGAGGCTACGGTGGCCGGGAGCGTGCCACTGTACTCCAGTCTGGGTGACAGAGTGAGACTCCAACTCAAAAATAAAATAAAATAAAAGATTATCTGTTTCTTCTTGGATGAGTTTTGGCAGCTTGTGTCTGTTAAGGGATTTGTGTGTTTCTTTTCTTTTCTTTATTTTTTTGAGTCAGAGTCTCACTCTGTTGTCTAGGCTGGAGTGCAGTGGCACACTCACCTGCCACCACAGTCTCGACCTGCTGGGCTCAGGCAGTCCTTCCATCTCAGCCTTCCAAGTAGCCGGAACTATAGGCACGAGCCACCATACCCTGCTAATTTTTTGATTTATTATAGAGACAAGGTCTCACCAAGTTGCCCAGGCTTGTCTCAAATCCCTGGGCTAAGGCAGTCCTTTCGCCTTGACCTCCCAAAGTGCTGGGATACAGGCTTGAGCCACTGTGGCCGGCCTGTTTCTTTTAAGTTATTGAATTTACTGACACATAGTTGTTCAGAATACATTCTTTTTTTGAGTCGGAATCTCACTTTGTCACCCAGGTTGAAATGCAGTGGCACACTCACAATCACTGCAGCCTCAACCTGCTGGACTCAGGGAATCCTTCTGCCTCAGCCTTCATGTAGCTGGAACTACAGGCGTGCGCCACCACTCCTGGCTAATTTTTTAATTTATTGTAGAGACGAGGTCTCACCAAGTTGCCCAGGCTGGTCTTGAACCCCTGGATTCAGGCAATCCTCTCATCTCAGCCTTTCAAAGTGCTGGAATTACAGGCTTGAGCCACTGTGCCTGACCCCAGATTACATTCTTATTATCCTCTTATTTTCTGTAGAATCTGTAGTAACATCACTTCTCTCATTTCTGATATTGGCAACTTATGTCTTCTTTTCTTTCTGATTAGTCAGGTTAGAGACTAGCAAATTTATTTATGATTTTCAAAGTACTAGACTTTGGTATCGTTAATTTTTTTTCTATTTTCTATTTCTTTTATGCACTGAAGCTTATTATTTCTTTTGTTTCATATGGGTATCTAGTTTCTGAAGGGACACATTGGTGTCATTCTTTTTTTTTTTTGAGTCAAGATCTTACTCTGTCACCCAGGCTGGAGTGCAGTGGCATGATCATAGCTCTTACTGCAGCTACAACTCCTGTTCTCTGGCAATTCTTCCACCTCAGCCTCCCGAGTGGCTAGGACTGCAGGTACATGCCACCATCCCTGGTTAATTTATTTAAAAAATTTTTTGTAGTGACAAGTTCTCACTATGTTACCTAGGATAATCTCAAACTCCTAGGCTCAAGCAATTCTCCCATCTCAATAATCCCAGCCTCCCAAAGTGCTGGGATTACAGGTGTGAGCCACCACACCTGGGTCCTATTACTAATTTTGAGCTTTGTGCTGGCATGAGGCTAAATTACTTGTGCTGGCATGAGGCTAAATTACTTGGGAACTGTTTGATCCTTTCAGACTTGCTTTGAGCATTGTTAGATTAGGCCAAAACAACATCTAGTCTAGGCTCATTTTGTTTTATTACCAAGGCAAAATCCTTCTGAGCACTGTGCCCGATGCCCATGAGTTATGTTGTTTCCATGCTGGCTGCTGGGAGCAGGCACTATTCTTGGCCCTTTGTGCGTTCCAGATGTTGTTTCTGCTAATCCTTTTGGGTGACTCTTTCCCTAGCCTCGGATGAGTTCTTATACACAACACTTGTATTTGTTCTCTAATGCTACTGTAACAAATTACCACCAATTTAGTGACTTAAACAACACAAATTCATTATCTTAAAGTTATTGAAGTCAGAGTCTGATATGGGTCTCACTGGACTAGGTGTCTAGGTGTCGGTAGGGCTTCATTCCTTTCTGGTGGCTCTGAGGAGGATCTGTTTTCTGCTCTTTCAGGTTGTTGGCAGAATTTGGTTCTTTGCATCTATAGGACTGAAGTCTCTGTTTTATTTTATTTATTTATTTATTTATTTTTTTGAGTTGGAGTCTCACTCAGTCACCCAGACTGGAGTGCAGTGGCCGCTCCCGGCCACTGCAGCCTCGACCTGCTGGGCTCCGGCGATCCTTCCGCTCAGCATTCCAAGGAACTGGAACTACAGGCGTGCGCTACCACGCCCGGCTGATTTTTTGATTTATTGTAGAGATGAGGTCTCCCAAGTTGCCCAGGGCGGGTCTCGAACCCGTGGGCCCAGGCAATCCACTCACCTCAGCCTCCCAAGGCACGGGATTACAGGCTGAGCCACTGAGCCCAGCTTTATTTTGTTTTATTTTATTTTATTTTATTGGAGTTGGAGTCTCACTCTGTCGCCCAGACTGGAGTGCAGTGGCCACTCCCAGCCACTGCAGCCTCCACCTTCTGGGCTCCGGCAATCCTTCCACCTCAGCCTTCCAAGTAGCTGGCACTACAGGTGCACGCTATCACACCCAGCTAATTTTTTATTTATTGTAGAGATGAGGTCTCGCCAGGTTGCCCAGGCAGGTCTCGAACCTGCGGGCTCAGACAATCCACTCAGCTCGGCCTCCCAAGATGCGGGAATACAGGCTGAGCCACCGAACCCGGCCAAGTCTCTGTTTTTATGCCAACTGTTAGCTGAGGGCCTTTCCCAGCTTCTAGAGGCTACCACATTCCTTGTCTCAGAGCCTTCTTCCTCTATTTTCAAAGCAATGGTGGATTGGGTTCTCGTGCTTTTAATTTCTCCTCCTCCCTCTTCCATCTCTTCTCTCTGACCCAGCTGGTAAAGATTCTCTGCTTTTAAGGACTGATGTGATTAGTTGGTCTCACCCTGATGATCCTGGATAATCTCCCCATCTCAAGGTCAATATCCTTAATCTCATCTAAATCCGTTTTGCCATGTAAGGGTACATATTCACAGATTCTGAGGATTAGGGTGTAGGCATTTTTTGAGGTCATTATTCTACTACCCCAGTGCTGATCAGTGACTCACTGAGCGCCCAGGGGACCCTCTGCAGGTCTCCAGAATTATCTCTGGGCACCTCTTTCTCTGGTACTAGAGCCTGTAAACTATAACCAACTTGGTATTCCTTGACACTCCCTGTTCTGTCTCTTCAGCTTAAGTGTTTTGCTGGGCCCCAGGCCTACACACTCTCTCCAGGCAGTGAGCTGGGGTACTTGTAGGGCTGACTTCATTTCCTCCCTCTCCGGGCTCACTGTCCTTCATTTTCTGATGTCTATTGTCCTTAGAGGTGTGGTTTCTTGTGTTTGTCCAGTTATTTTCTTTCTTTTTTTTTTTTTTCTTTTTTTTTTTGAGTTGGAGTCTCACTCTGTCGCGCAGACTGGAGTGCAGTGGCCGCTCCCGGCCACCGCAGCCTCGCCTGCTGGGCTCCGGCAATCCTTCCGCCTCAGCCTTCCAAGTAGCTGGAATTGCAGGCATGCGCTACCACGCCCGGCTGATTTTTTTATTTATTGTAGAGATGAGGTCTCGCTGCCCAGGCGGGTCTCGAACCCGCGGGCTCAGGCAATCCACTCACCTCAGCTTCCCAAAGGCGTGGGATTACAGGCTGAGCCACCGAGCCCAGTTTGTCCAGTTATTTTCATTGTTTTGGTTGGGAGGGCAGTTTGGTCCCTATTACTCTCTTCTGGACTCCTCATGCTCTTTTATTTTGTTTATTCCTGTTTGATTTGGGCCAGCATGTCTGTTGTGCTGTAGGGTATATGTTGGTTTTGTCTCTTCCTGGATAGTGAAGCTAGGCAGCTCTAGCTGTCTGCAGGACAGAGCCTCTACTCCCAGAGACAGGCTGTGCAGCTCTAGCTCTTCCACCTTGTAAGCTCAGCTCTGGGAATTCAGGGTTCTGATGTTCCATGTCAGGTACGCCCTCACCTTTGAGAAGTGTGTGCTGTGGGCTCTTTCAGTTCTCCTACTCTGACAGTCACTGCCCTTTGCAGCTCTTAATATGTTTTTTTCTTTTAATTTTTTTTTTTATTTTAAAGATGTGGGGTACAATTCAGGGTTAGGTATACAAATGTTCATTATGCAGGTATCCTTGTTGATGAGGTGCCCCCCCAACACTTTCATGGCTTGGGATCATTTTTTTCTCTTTGCTGTGCCACAAAAGGAATTAAAAAAAAAAAATTCTTGTTTCCTTGTTCCTTTTAGATGCTTTCCAGGAGAAAAGGGGAAATGCTATGCTGACGCCATCGTCTTCAAGCCAGAACTCTCCATCTGCTATCTATTTTCCCAGGATTCCTGGAAATTTCTGGTCTGTTAATTTTATCTTTTCTTGTTTTCTAGTGCTCTTATGAATTTCTTTTTTTAAAACATGTATTTTTCTGTCATTTCATTGAGATTTGGTGGGATGGGTGAATGCTTAGGATCAGTCTGCCTTCTTGAACTAGAATTCTCACTTATTTTTAATTCCATCACCTCCCAAGATCTACATGATTTCTCACTTTGCCTCCTCCCCATGTGTGCACAGTGCAGTGAGATGTTCTGCCTGGGTAAGGGTGGGTCATGATGCCTCTCCTTTATTTTTCCCTGGAATACATTAGGAAGGAGTGGTGGATAGTAGGTGATCAAAGGAATGAAGGCGCTGGTGGAATGATCAGAGAGCAGAGGACATGAGCATTAGAAAGAAACTGACAACCTTGCTGAGGGTAGGCCTGTGGCCTCTCTGATCCTACAGGACCTTGGAGAGTATGACACAGAACTTGAGTGTGTGACTATAGGATCTTGCATATTCAATGGATATGAGTCTTTAGGGCTATCTGTTGTATGTGATGCTACAAAGCATGTGATATTGAAAGCTACAGTGTTCATTCTCAGTTCTTCACAGAGTGAAGGGGAAGATGCTGTAGGTCAAGCCAGTGGCCACACTTGTCCGTGTCTATCAGTGGTGAAGGTACCACCACGGGCCAACCCTTGTAGACTAATGATGCATTGACAGGAGCTGCCAGGTGTTGAGGGATGGAGGGGAGCTGCAAACTGTTGAGGATAATGATGCCTTTTGCCCTCCCTGAATGACTCAAACAAAACGTGGCAAAGGTATTTCCTCCAGAACAAATTAATTCAAATTGTATGTTTTACACAAAAATGATAACTGCCCATAAACTTAGGCATTGTGGTGGTTTATTAATTAAATCTGAGTTTTTTATTATTTTAGGTTGGAGAAGTTGTCCATGTTCACATTGGACAAGAGGAAGCCAAGACCAGAGAAATGACAGTGTCCTATGTGAAGAGTAAGTGTGTGGACACTCAGGGTGGATGAGGCTAAGACCCCTCTAGCCTCTGGGTGTGCAGGACAGGCTGATGCACACTGGGGATGTGGGAGCCTGAGTGGTTGAAGCTTGGGTTTGTGAACAGGTATAGGTCTTACACCTGCTGGCTTTGAGACTCAGTCAAGCACATGGCATTCAGTAAATGTGGTTTGGAGGAGTGATTGTTGATTGAACATGTTTTCTACAAGTTTTCATTAAAAAAAAATAGTTATCTTAGACAGTTCTGTCTGTTACAAAAAAAATTATTAGTCTGGGTAGTTTATAAATAGTAGAAAATTATTTCTCACAGTTATAGAAGCTAGGAAGTCCAAGATCAAGGCACTGACAGATTTGGTATCTGGTGAAGGCTACTTTCTGCCTCATAGATGGCATCTCTTGCTGTGTCTTCACACGGTGGGAAGGGCCAAAGGGACTAGGGCATCCCTCAAGCCTTTTTATAAGGCACTGATCCCATCCATGAGGGAAAAGTGCAAAGGCTGTACTTCTAATACCAAAGAAAGAAGTTGACATATCTAGTTTCTTAGAAAGAAACTTTGTTTTTATTGAGTCAGAGTATTACTCTGTCACCCAGGCTGGAGTGCAGTGGCACACTCACAGCCACTGCAACCTTGACCTGCTGAGTTCAGGCTATCCTTCCTCTTCAGCCTTCCAAGTAGCCATAACTACAGGCATGCACCACCATGCCTGGCTAATTTTTTTTTAATTGTAGAGATCTGGTCTTGCCATGTTGCCCAAACTGGTCTTGAACCTGTGTGCTCAGGCAGTCTTCTCTCCTCCACCTCCCAAAGTGTTGGGATTACAGATGTGAGCCACCATGCCCGACGAAACTTTTTTTTTTTTGAGTTGGGGTCTCACTCTGTTGCCCAGACTGGAGTGCAGTGGCATGATCACAGTTCATAGTAACCTCAACCTCCTGGACTCACGCAGGTGTATACCACTACAACCAGCTAATTTTTTAAAACATTTTTTTATAGAGATGAGGTCTCACTATGTTGCCTGGTTTCAAACCCCTGAGCTCAATCAATCCTCCTATCTTGGCCTCCCAAAGTGCTGGGATTATAAGCATGAGCCATTATGCCTGGTCAGAAAAAGCATTTAATAGGGACTTACTAACAGAAGCCATGTCTGTGTCTCAGGTGGCAGTAAGACAAGATGGTACATTCCCCCTTCTCCCTTTATCCTTCAGTCCCAGGGCTTATAGGGAAGAGGTATGTAGGCTAATTCAGAAGGGATGTGTAGGACAATTGAAGTATGATAACATTAAGGTTGTTTGACCTAAGGGCAAGATTGACAGTAAGGAGTTACTCTTTGTTTTTGTTTTTGTTTTTGAGTTGGAGTCTCACTCTGTCACCCAGACTGGAGTGCAGTGGCCGCTCCTGGCCACCGCAGCCTCGACCTGCTGGGCTCCGGCGATCCTTCCACCTCATCCTTCCAAGTAGCCGGAATTACAGGCATGCGCTACCACGCCCGGCTGATTTTTTTGATTTATTGTAGAGATGAGGTCTTGCTGCCCAGGTGGGTCTCGAACCCGCGGGCTCAGGCAATCCACTCACCTCAGCCTCCCAAAGGCGCGGGATTACAGGCTGAGCCACCGAACCCGGCTAGGAGTTACTCTTACACAAGGAACAATAAACGGGAAATCTGAGAGGCCTTCCCAGAACTGCAGTTAATCAGAAGTCTATATGGTACATTAGCATCCAAAATGGAGTTGCTTTGGCCTTTACACCCAGCTAAGACTGCAGTTCACTGAGGGCCAATTGTGTATGTGGCCTGGAATAGGGGGCAGTCCCTTCCCACTTGTCCCTGCCCTTCAGAACTGTGGGGCTGGCAGGTGTGGCATCAGGGACAGCAGGCTTGGCCATTGTGCAAGGTGGCCAGGTCTGTTAGACCCTGAGTCAGCAGGCTGCTGGTGGTGCCAGAATGTACTCTTTCCTTCTACTCTGAGTCTGTGATCCTCACAGACTGACAGGGTTGCCCACTGGAGGGGGTGGTGGTTGAGGTGTGATAGGGAGGGCACATGAGTCTAAGCACACTAATTGGGCTTTATCATCACAGAGCTTTCATCTACTCTGCTGGATGCCATCACCGACAAGGATCCCATGGTTCAGGAACAGGTCTGTGGTGCTCTGTGCTCCCTTGGGGAGGCGCAGCCAGGGGAGACACTCTGTGCCTGTGAGGAGTATCTGCGGCAGCATGACAAGGTATTTCTGCCCCTTGGTGGTGGTGACATTGGAGGGCCATCCTCAGTCTGGGCTTACCTGGTTTGAAAAGAGACAACCCTCCAGGAGCAGCAGTCAGGGACATGCAGGGCTAGTTGCACATCTAAGCTTTCTTGAGGCTGGGTATTTCAGGAGAGATTACCTGCCTTGTCTTGTCTTATGTAGCATGTGGCTGCATTCCCCAATGAACTTGGGGTCCTGTTGTAAGGGGACTAGGCCGTTGGCACTGCAGTATTCAACCTTTCTGGATGAGGCTGTTTTTTGCCCCTTTTACTTACAAGTAAAGGCTGAATGGCTCTCCCTCCCAGGCTCTGATGATGACTCTGATGTTGACTCTCAAAGAGAGTCATCATCAGCTCAAGAGCCTAGGAATACTTTGATAAGTGCTCAGAGAGAGTGTCCTGAGAGGCCCTCCACTGCCTGCCCACTTGCCAACCTTCCAGGGAGGGACTGCCAGGGGCTTACTTCTTTCTGCCCTATAATGTTCTCTCTTCTCATACAAACATTACCAACTCAGCAGAGCTATGAGAACTTCTCAAGAACTCTGTCTTTGATCCTGACTGGGTCAAATCACTGACCCTGGGACACAAGTGGCTCAGAACTGGCTCTCATCACCTGGGATTTCTGCCACTCCTGAACCTTGGCTCAGTAG